GGAGCGGGGGAGGGTGCGGGGGGGCCGGGTGCTCGTCGGCGGCGATGGAGCGGGGGAGAGTTGCGGTGGGTCGTCGGCGGCAGTGGAGCTAGCGGGGGATGGTGCGGGTGGGATCGAGATCGAGATCAAAAAGTGTCCATGAAAATATACACGGTGCGCCATTAGCAGTTTTGCAAAAAGTAAAAAAAATTATATACTAATGGCGCACTGTTTACAAGGTGCGTCATTACTTGTTAGAACTAGTAATGGCGCACTTTGGCGTCATGCGCCTTTAGAATGTATGGAAAAATGAAAAAAAAATTAATACTAGTGGCGCACCGTGTGCCTCGTGCGCCATTAGTGTCTTCCTTACTAATGGCGCACCTCCAACCGGTGCGCCATTAGTATATAGCAGTGGCGCACTGCTTACCTGCTGCGCCATTAGTATCAATCCTATCTATAGCCCTTTTCCTAGTAGTGCCCCTCTGAGTCCAGTGCAGCTATAATAGGTTCCTCGATCACCAAATGCATAAAATGCATTATGTCATTCAAAAAGGCACGTTCTGCAGTAAAAGGAGGATACTCTCTGTTATCCCCCCCCCCCGGTCATAGTTGTACCGAGTCCATTGCCTAGTTTTCGATGAGTATATCGCCACATCGTAGTCCAACTGTACTAGGGGTGTAAACACCACAAAGCGGAATAGAACGACCGCGTCAAAAAAAGCCAGGAAGGCTGCGCCAGTTGAAGTGTGCAGGTTCATCATCCTCTTCATCCTGCCATACTATAGGAGGCAACACACACCACTGCCCCATCATAGGAGTGCACACGACGTAATCGCATTCCTCGTCTTATTGCGATTCCTTGCATTTGCAGAGGAGAAGGTTGTTGATGCGTTGTTCGAGCTTGACCCTAGCGTAGCTCCCGCGAAGAAAAGGGAGCAAAGGGTCGACCAGAGGGGCGCCTTCCCCGGACAAATTACTGAAACAGAGACTGCTGCCTGAGTGGTGGGTGTGGAAGAATCCGGAGAGGGTCTGCGACACCCTCCTTTCGATGGCCGGGTCAGAGTAGAGGACTTGTCTCTGAAACACGCCGGCGGCGGCTGCATTGGCCTCGTCCTCTACAAATAAAAGAAGCGGTTGTCTCAATAAGGTCCTAATTCCATTCCGTGAACAGAAGAAAGATCGGAAAAGAGGAGGCGTGGAGCAGACCTGGGAAGCAAAGGTGCGAACGGCAGCGTAGGACAGGACGGACCGCCCTCGTCGCGCTTGCCAGTCGTCAGCGGGTGGTGCGGCTCCGTGCCAGCACACCGGCCTTCTCCCAGTGGCATCATCTCCTCCTCGGATCGAAGATCGGTGCATTAGATCCTCCGCTTGACCGTTGCCGGAATTTGGGGTTTCAAGCCTTAAAGGGAAATAGAGCCGCGACTGTGTGTGCCTGGATCTGGATGGGCTTCACCACTTCTTCGAAAATTTTGCCCAAGGTATTGTATATGGGGAAATAGGGTAATAGAGCGGGCCGACGACTGTGTATATTGGAAAAAAATGTTTTCTAACGAATTACCTTATATGGATGTGGATTACCATTATCTGTCAAATTTTCTGTAGGTATATGTAAAAGGCATATCCAAATGTCCGCGTATACCTACTTACACTTTAGAGACACACAAAGGCATCTCTTTCTTCACCTTTTTCAAACTAATTTTGTCATCTATTTTCAGGATTCAAGAATAAAGCAACGGTAGATGTGGTGTGCCAAACAATTCACAGTAAATTATGCTACATATATAGCTCATACTGGAGCAGGCTGATGGGAAGAAAATTGATGCGAAGCATTCTATGGTCTTCCCCATGTACACTTCAACTACTCCCCAAGCCCCAAGTGCACCTATGAGGAGAGCTCGAGCATGTGCCATTGGACATAAGGTGAACTATCTCTTGTTGAACTTCCCTTGGACCCACATGAGACATGGCTACCACCTCAAGCAAAGACACTTTGTGTGCTTAGGTACCGAGGAACCAACAAGGAGAAGGAATGGTGCAAGACGGACACCAAGAGAATGCAGGCAATCTGCCCAGCGCAGAAAGGCCGGTACAACTGCCCATGTACCGCCCAACTACCGCTCGGGCGGTACAACCGCTTGACTACCACGCAGCTACCGGTCCAGCTTCTGTGATCGAGCGGTGCAAGGCCGGTATAGTACCGGTTTATCACCATAACAGCCATCAGACCGGTACAACCGCTCTTAACACTGGTACAACCATCAAGCACCCCCGGAAACACCTCCAAGAGCCCGCACCCAAGTTCCCAGCGGTACAACCGCCCCCATCACCGATACCACCGCCCTGCCTGAGCTCCCAGCGGTACAACCGCTCCCATGACATGTACAATCGCCCTGCCTGCATGCAGTGAAAGGGGTTTCACCCCATGTACCTTCCACTTACCCTTTGGACTATATATACTTGTCCCCCAGCTCTGTATTAGGGTCAGCATAGCTTTAGCTCATTTGAGATAGAGCTTTGCTCATTCATACGGATCTACTCCTCGTGAGAGACCGCGGCCTCTTCGGAGAAGATCCATCTTGGATTCAAAACCCCATTCATGGGATGACCCTCAAGACCTCCTCATGGAGATGAACTAGCTACTTGTATCGTCCTTTTTTGGACTTGAATCATGTATCTCTCTTTGTGTTTCGAGGATCTAGCACATGTGTAATCGAATCTTGTTGGTTTGAGCGATTCTCTAGTGTTTCACCTCGTGATTTCTCATTGTGTTCTCCGTGTTCTTCGTAATTCCCTCCAATCATGAAAGAGAGGGCCGCTAGGGTTCTACCCTACATCATCTTTGGTATAATGAGCCACGTTGATCATGTATTTGGAGCCCCTACCCCTCTTTTTCTAGCTTAATTTTGTTGTGTTCTTCCCCAATTTCTCAAATCCCCACAAAATAGCCCCAATTTTTTTTGTGATTTGTTGGTTTTTGATGTTTTGTTGATTTGGTTCCATGGATTTGCTTGGTTTCGAGTGGATCTTGCATCTCCCCAAGTTTTCCCATCTTTCATCCACGAAATCCACCAATTTTGCCCCCCAAATCATCAATTTCCGCACCAAGTTCATCCCGTACCCAGATCTGTGAATTTTCCCGACAAAAGCGGTACAACCGGCCCCCAAGGCGGTACAACTGCTCCTCCATCCCCTGATACTTCTGCCAGCCCAAAACTGGAACCCCAGGAGACTCCAGTAGTAGTACAACCGCCTGCTCAAGCGGTACAACCGTCCCTCCCAGGTTCAGCCTCGGCTGATTGACAGTTTTGACCATAACTAATTCATCCAGACTCGGGTTTTCGCGTTCTTTAGCTCATTGAGTAGCTATTGACATCCCCCATCCACCTAGATAGGTTTCAACACCTTTTGACTCCAACAAATTTTTGGAACTTCGGCATCTTGGCCTAGGCCATCCACCATATCTTCTGCATAACCACCATAGTCTTCTGCAACCTAACCCATTTTGATTAGACAAGATAGCAGTCATACATCTTTGAAAGGTGGCAGGTGCATTACATAAACCGAAAGGCATACGTCTATAAGCAAATGTTCCAAAAGGACAAGTAAAAGTGGTCTTTTGTTGATCAGATTGTAAAATAGGTATTTGTGAAAAGCCAGAGTATCCATCAAGGAAGCAAAAATGTGTGTGCTTAAATAGTATTTCTAACATTTAATCAATAATAGGCAGAGGGTAATGATCTTTTCTATTAGCTTTATTTATTTTTCTATAATCAATTACCATTCTATAGCCCGTGACAATTCTTTGTGGAATAAGCTCATTCTTATCATTAGGAACAACAGTAATACCTCCCTTCCTAGGGGCACAATGAACAAGACACACCCATCTACTAGCAGCTATAGGATAGATTATACATGCTTCCAGAAGTTTCAATATTTCCGTTCTTACCACTTCTTTCATTTTCGGATTTAACTGATGTTGGTGATCAACGACGGGTTTAGCATCAGATTCCATATTAATCTTGTGCTGACATAGAGTGGGACTAATGCCCTTAAGATCATCAATTCTATATCCAATAGCAGCCACGTGCTTCTTTAGAACTTTCAATAATGATTCTTCTTCATGTTCTGAAAGGTTAGCACTAATGATAACAGGATATATCTTCTTTTCATCAAAATAAGCATATTTCAAGGTGTTTGGCAATTATTTTAATTTGAACACAGGATCACCTTTAGGTGGAGGAGGACCTCCTAGAGTTTCAATAGGCAAATTGTGTTTAAGCAGAGGTTGTTGTTTAAAAAGATTCTATCTATTTTATTTCTTTCACGCATATGCAAATCATTTTCATGGTCTAGTAAATATTGTTCCAAAGGATCAGTAGGAGACACATCAATAAAAGCAAGACCAATAATTTCATCCTTACTAAGCAAATCTTTCTTATGAGGTGTTTACTATACTTGGAAAAATTAAACTCTTGATATTTATCACCAAAGCTAACACCGACAGTTTGTTTCTTACAATCTATTTTAGCATTGACATTGTTCAAAAAAGGTCTACCAAATATAATGGGAAATTTTTTATCTTGTGGGGTGGTAAGAATAAGAAACTCAGTAGGGTATTTTACCTTCCAACACAAGACTTCAACATCTCTAAGAATCCCAATTGGTGATATAGTACCTCTATTAGCAAGTTTAATAGTAACATCTATGTCTTCTATTTCAGCGCGTGCTATTTCATCTCTAATTTCTTCATATAAGGAGAAGGGAATAGCACTAACTCTAGCACCTAGGTCACATAACCCATGATAACAGTGGTCTCCAATCTTAACTGAGACAACAAGCATGCCAACAGCTGGTCTATGTTCATATTTTCCTTCATGTTTAGAAATTCTAGAAGATTCATCACAGAAGTAAATAACATGCCCAACAATATTATCAACTAAGAGATCTTTAACCATAGCAACACTAGGTTCAACTTTGATTTGTTCAGAAGGTTTGAATGTCCTAACATTACTTTTGTTAACCACAGTTGAAGTTTTAGCATGTTACTTCATCCTAATAGGAAAAGGTGGGGTTTTTAATGTAAGCAGTGGGAACAACTGGATCAACATTGTAAATAATAGTTTCTTCTTTAGATTTTGCCAGTTCTTTAATTTCTTATTTAATTGTTAGGTGGTACTTAAACCCCTTCTCCTTAGGGAGATCAACACCAGTAGCAAAAGATTCACAAAAGGAAGCTACTATCTTAGAGTCAAGTCCATATTTAGTGCTAAACTTTTGAAAGGCATCGGTATTCATAAAAGATTTAACACAATCAAAATTAGGTTCAATACCCGACTCTTTACCTTCGTCGAGTTCCCAATCTTCAGAGTTACGTTTAATTATTTCTAAATGATCCCACTGGAATTCAATAGTCTTCTTCATAAAAGAGCTAGTACAAGAAGTATCGAGCATGGTTTGATCATTACGAGAAAGCCGAGCATAAAAGTTCTGAATAATAATTTCTCTCGAGAGCTCATGATTGGGGCACGAATATAACATTGGCTTAAGCCTCCCCCAAGCTAGAGCGATACTTTGTCCTTCACGAGGCAAAAAATTATATATATAATTCCGATCACGATGAACTAGATGCATAGGATAAAATTTCAGATGAAATTCCAATTTCAAACAGTTCCATTTCCAAGATTCAATATCATCGCATAACCTATACCATTTCAATGCTTTTCCATTTAAAGATAAAGGGAAAACCTTCTTCTTAGATTCATCTCCGGGAATACCTGCAAGCTTAAATAATCCACAAATTTCATCCACATATATCAAGTGTATATTAGGATGTTTGGTTCCATCTCCTGCATAATGATTAGCTAACACTTGTTCTAACATACCCTAAGGAATTTCATATTCAATATTTCCAGTAGGTGCAGTAGGTTGAGGGGTGACTAACTATGGTTCCGATTGAGGTGAATATACCCCGAACAAACCGCTCAAAAGGATTGTTTTTCATAGTAGCAAGTGACAATAAATTTCTGCATGTAGTAATGATGTTTCCTTACCAATTTCCACTTACCAAGAGCGCTTCACTCCCCGACAATAGCGCCAGAAAATTGCCTTGATGACCCACAAGTGTGTGGGGTCAATTGTAGCTCTTTTCAATAAGTAAGAGTGTCGAACCCAATGAGGAGCAGAAGGAAATGACAAGTCATTTTCAGCATGGTAATGTCTGCAAGTGCTAAAATTGCAAGTAGCAGAGTAGTTTGGTAGCATGATGATTTGGAATGAGCAAGTAACAATAGCAGTAACAAAACTGCAACAAGGTATCTCAATCCTT